AATTATATATCTTTCAATCAAGTTCATAATAAAAAGTCCTAAAATATAAGTTCAATAGCTCAGACCAAGCCCTTATTAATCATCATGTATTGGCATAGTAACATTTAGCCATTAGATTCCTTCAAAACATATTATGACAAACTATCTGGATATCAAATGTTGAAAGTTTCTTGACAATCATATGCAAGTCTATCTATTGAACTTAGTTTAGCTACCAGTTACCTAATTTAGGGAATGATCATGGGTTTATAAATAAGTAATATCTCTCCATTGGTATGAGACCTTTTAGAGAAGCCCAAAGCAAAGCCATGAGAGTTCATGCTCAAAGTGAACAATATCACACCATTATGGAGAGTCTTGATTCATAACACGGTATCAGAGGCATGCCCTTAACTTAGCCATGTCAATAAAATCCTCAAATGTCGAACAAAGAAGTTGTGAGCGGTGTAGTTAAAAGTGACTCAAGTGTCGAACAAAGGGTGTAATTTGTTGAAGGACACCAGAGAAGGAGTTGAGCCTCGATTAAGGGGAGACTATTCGAGGGCTCCATAGGCCACAAGGGAGGCTCTATAGTGTACGTTGTTCGAGGGGAGGATTGTTGAAGATTGTTGGGAGGGAGTCCTACATTGGCTAATATAGAGAATGATCATGGGTTTATAAGTAAGGAATACATCTTCATTGGTACGAGGCTTTTTGGGGAAGTCGAAAGCAAAGTCATGAGAGCTTATGTTCAAAGTGGACAATATCATACCATTGTGGAGATCCGTGATTCCTAACAGTAACCTCACCCGTATATTTACAATATAAAAACGAAGAATTTGAAAGAAGCCCTTACCATTGGATGCCCTTGGGCAGTCTTTAGGAGAGAAAGGGGAAGCTGAAGTAAAAACAAAAAATCGATTAGAGCGAACCCAAGAAGGGAAAAGAGCAAAGAAACAAGCAACGACGACGAATTTGAAGCAAAATAGTTCAATCAATCCAAGGCATTGAATGAATCAACACACCCTTAGGTTACACTACCAGCAAAATTTAACAACAGGACCAAATAAGAACACGAGGGGAAACATACCATCTTCAAGGACACGAAGCAGAATCGAGAAGCGGAAACCAATCTGTCGGGAAAAAAAAAAACCAAAAGAATTTCAAGTTTCCAGATGATCATACATTTGGATGAACAGATTCATGAAAAGAAACATTGATTCGTAGACTAATGAAATCAAGAGAGTCACTAACCTTCGAAGCTCTCGATCCTAAAGAGAATCAAGTTCTTGAGTAGAGTAGGAATTTTTTTTCGATATGAATTCAAAAGCGGTCGAAACGACTCATTGGGCAGGTAGGACGAAGAAATCTAATTGTTCTGATGATGCCGCCAACAATATTTACTATCTCAGAAGGAAAACACAACCGAACCAGTTCGATATTGAAAAAATTCGAGTTTCGATCCATTCGATCGGCGGATCCTAGGGTTTCGTTTCTTTTTCTTTTAATTTAATCCCATTTTAAAATTTTTAATTTTTAAGATTCCTGTTTAAACCGGAATAGAGAGAGATTTCTCCTCATTAGATAGGCTATAATTCTAAGAAAATTCAACCAAAAAAAGGTGGAGTATTCCTGTGTTTAAAAAGGAATAGGAAGAGGTTTCTCCTCGTTAGACACGAGGTTAAGATTCAATGAAAACCGACCAAAAGGAGGTGGAGTATTCCCGTGTTTAAACAAGAATAATGAGAGATTTCTCCTCGGTAGACACGAGATTAAGATTATATGAAAACCCGACCAAATAGAGGTGGAGTGTTCCTGTGTTTAAACAGGAATAGGGAGAGATTTCTCCTCGTTAGACACGAGGTTAAGATCCTATGAAAACCCGACCAAAAGGAGGTGGAGTATTCCCGTGTTTAAACAGGAATAGGGAGAGACTTCTCCTCGTTAGACACGAGGTTAAGATTCTACAAAAATCCGACCAAAAAGAGGTGGAGTATTCCCGTGTTTAAACAGGAATAGAGAGAGATTTCTCCTCGTTTGACATGAGGTTAAGATTCTACAAAAACACGACAAAAAAGAGGTGGAGTATTCCTGTGTTTAAACAGGAATAGGAAGAGATTTCTCCTCGTTAGACACGAGGTTAAGATCCTATGAAAACCCGACCAAAAGAAGGGGAGTATTCCCGTGTTTAAACAGGAATAGGGAGAGATTTCTCCTCGTTAGACACGTGGTTAAGATTCTACAAAAATCCGACCAAAAAGAGGTGGAGTATTCCCGTGTTTAAACAGGAATGGGGAGAGATTTCTCCCCGTTAGATAAATTGAATGAGGAACGATATTATATTCCACATCTCCGCTGCCCCGTCTCTACGATGAAATTTAGGGTTTTTTTTTTTTTTTTTTTTTTTTTTTTTTTTTTTTTAAAAAAAACCTTATACTACATTATACCATATTCTTTTTAGTAAAAAAATTTCTTCGAAAAAATCACTTAAAAAATAATAAAAAATAGAGAAAGTTTTCTCATTCGAAAGCATTTCTCGTGAAAAAAAGGATGAGAATGGAGAAGGCTTATCGTCTCCACCTCATATTTATATTTATCATAACGATAAATATGTCTAGTTTCACATTAACTTAGGAAACGAATCTATTTTATTTTATTATAAGTTAAAATTTTATTATATAGTTTTTGTACATTATTATTTTATATTTATCATATCGTAAAACGTATATACATGTCCATGGCAACGCACGCATACTCCAAACGCCCTCCCCGACTCCACGACACGCTAACAGTCCCACAAACTCGATGCCAAGAACAAACAAACCATGTTGCAAGAACGACAATTGACAACAACGTACACATAGGAGGTAAGTCTTTCATACTCTGTGCTTCCAACAACGTCAAATTCTCTCGTCGTCGACGTCTGAATCTCAGTATAAGGTTAAATTTCTCGATTTAAGTTAAATTGAGTTACTAATAAAACGGGATGGACTATTTAATAGAAAACAACAACCAAAGACATTTGGAGCGATTTCAAGGAACTCAAACATACTCGAACTTAGGGAAAACATCGGCTAAGGCAAACTAGGTAAGTGGTCCTACCATTGCTTTTGTTATAATTGTATGTTGAATGATGACATGTGTCCATGGCTTTGCACGTGTCATATGTTTGTATATGTAAATTGTTACGAAATGTTGTGTATGTGATAATACGAGAATATTATGTTGTATTTGATGAATTGATATGATATGTTAAAGACATGTTTGAGTTATGTTATGTGACTGTTATGATATATGATATGTTATGATATGTGCATGATGTGAATTATTACGTCAGAAGGCATGAAAATGTTATGATATGACATATGTGCAGCATGAATGATATGTGATATGATTGACATGAAATGCAACCCTGGTATGCGTGCAAGATATGATAAAATGATATGATACGGACGAAATCGCTAGAGGGTTGTAATATATGATAATGAAAATGGAAAAATATTGAGATCTCATGCATTATTGTGTGTTCATGCATTGTGAGATACCTCTTCTCCTTTTATAATAGTACGGATGTGTAAGCTACGACGAAGGGAAACAATCATTATGTTTACCATAATGCTACCATGACGGTTGCTATTTTTAACGGGTGTCTGACATCAACAACTACCAAAGAATGCTCGCCCGACCAAAAAGTGGCTTAGGAGGTGTGAGATCTGACTTGTGGGTCCGTACTCGCATGTGTGGACCGTGTATAGGAAATTAAGTACACATCCAATTGCCTGTTTAAGATAGTTGTCGTAGGAAAATAGACTGTTATGATAGGTTCCACTCGAATGGTATGTGTTTGCATTTAACTCCAATAAAGAGTTGCTTACTGAATATTTCTTAAAATACTCCAGCTACGTGCTAAAATACTCAAACTACGTGCTACTCTTATTTTTCAGGTAAAAGCAAGACTCTCATGTATGGCTGACAGTGGCATCGCAATATAAGAGATCATGACACATGCTTAGGGTAGTCTTGAAATTTGAATTACTTTATTTGAAGGTCTTAGAAAAGACATGCAAGACATGTATACAGTAGCAGCTAAGTAGAAAATCTAGGGTCGTTACAAACGTGGTCATATCAATATAGCAGTCATATTCTATTCAGCCTACCCCATAGGTATTCCAACAATTAATTCAGCACTCCTAAGCTTACGTTACGTTGCACTGAGAGATCTTGCCCTAGAGTAGAAGCAATATTAAGCCAAATTACTTAGCTTAGTGTAAAGGCAAAGTCGACTAGAGTCACATACGATTGAACATGCGCACACAGGCCGTGTGTGTAACCAAACAAGCTTGAATTCCATAGGAGTTATATTCGACGGGCGAAGAAAAACCCCATCTAAAGTCCAGCGAACCACAAAGACGAAACGAAGCTCAAATTCCCCTTAAAAACTTATCATGAACATATAAGATCACGACACTAAGCTCAAATTCCCCTTAAAAACTTATCATGAACATATAAGATCACGACATTAAGCTCAAATTCTCCTTAAAAACTTATCATGAACATATAAGATCACGACACTGTACATGTATGACTAAGATATCCACATTTTCATTGCATGTGTTCACATCTTGTACGTTTCTCGTAAACATTTATTAGAATATTAGCCGTAACCATGAAATCGTCAACCTAAAGTTCCTTTAAGATCTTCATCCTTTCATAGTACAATTGAAAGTTGATTTAGATATCATCACTCTTGATTATTCACTATCATATAATATCAAACACTATCATATAATATCAAAGCTCTTGATTATTCACTATCATATAATATCAAACACTATCATATAATATCAAAACTATAAATGAAAGATGCTAACTATACTCAGAATGATATGAATTTATAATTAAGAAATATTATCTCCATTGATAGTAGACTTTTTGAAAAAACCCAAAGTAAAACTATAAAAGCTTATACTCAAAATAGGCAAATATCATATCATTGTGAAGACTCGTGTTCATCTACGATATTCAAAAACTAATATATTATTTGTAATGATTTGTACAATTTAACTTCTTCTTGGGACAGTACAATTCTACCATTTCCAAAGGCAAAGGCATAGAAATTGAAATTTATACATCATCTAAACTCTAAACTAGATATGCACACAATATATTCTAAACCAAGTAATTCAAAATTGATACAAAAGCCAAATTACTTATACCTCGTACCTACTGCACAAAGTCATTCGCTATCCACGAAATCTGCGTCGATAACATCGCCATCAGTTTCTCCAGCTGATCTCGATGAAGCGGACTGAGTTCCGGATGCAGTCCCGTCGCTGGAGGCTGCTCCTTGGCTGTAGAGGGACTGCCCCATCTGCATTACTTCTTGATTCAGTGCAGTCATGGAGATTTTGATTTTTTCGGTCGACCCGTTAGCAATGGCGTCCTTAAGGACGTTGAGCTTAGCCTCGACAGCCTCTCGAACGGATTGGGGAATTTTGTCTCCGAGCTCCTTTAGCTGTTTTTCAGTTTGGTACACAGCAGAATCTGCTTGGTTCTTTGTGTCTATGGCATCCCTCTTCTCTTTATCTTCCTTTGCGAACTTCTCTGCTTCTTTAACCATTCTATTCACCTCGTCACTTGGTAGAGTACTCGCGCCAGTGATTGTGATGTCTTGCTTCTTCCCAGTTCCCTTGTCAATGGCAGTGACAGAGAGAATACCATTAGCGTCGATGTCGAATTTCACTTCGATCTGAGGAACGCCGCGGGGTGCGGGTGGGATACCGTCGAGGAGAATTCGTCCAAGAGACTTATTGTCCCGAACGAACTCTCGTTCGCCTTGACATACATTAATCTCAACACTTGTTTGTCCATCTGCTGCTGTCGAAAACACCTCAGATTTGGATGTTGGTAACGTCGTGTTCCTCGGAATGATTTTGGTCATTACTCCGCCCAAAGTTTCCAAACCGAGAGAGAGCGGTGTGACATCTAAGAGAACAATGTTACTGACATCTCCAGCTAAAACACCAGCCTGAACTGCAGCCCCGAGCGCAACCACTTCATCGGGATTTACTGTCATGTTCGGTTCTTTACCTGTCATTTTCTTAACAAGCTCTTGAACTGCTGGGATACGAGTCGAGCCCCCGACAAGGATGACTTCATCTATTTCTTTGAACGACAACTTCGCGTCCTTTAGAGCCGTTTCCACCGGCGATCGCAGCCTTAAAAAGACAGCATCCAGAGTAAGAAAATGAATTCAAATTCATGCACATAGAACTCGGCCATTGGAAGCAAACCTTACCTATCTAGCAAGTCTGAACACAACTCTTCAAACTTCACCCTAGTAAGTGTAGTATCGATATGTTTCGGACCATCTCGGGTCGCAGTGATAAATGGCAAACTGAAACACGAGGCTTATTCAGAAAACACGATAAATAAATCAATCAACCGATCAAGAGGCGAAAGGAGTCACAGTTGTTGTACCTAATATTGGTCTGTGTTAAAGATGATAGCTCAATCTTCGCCTTCTCGGCCGTTTCCGTAAGACGTTGCAGCGCTTGTTTGTCTTTCAAAAGATCGATTCCTTCGTCCCTCTTAAAGCTCTCGGCAAGCCAATCGACAATCCTCTGAATATAACAGTAAGCAAATCAAAGATGTTATATTGTGCAGATAAAGATATACAAAGAAGATAAAGGAATACGAGCAACCAACCTTGTCAAAATCATCACCACCCAAATGTGTATCACCTAAAGTAGAAAGAACCTCAAACACGCCATCTCCAACCTCAAGAACTAAGGAGAAACAACATTTGTCAACTCAAACAGTCAAGAACATCGAGAAAGACACAACCGACGCAGAGTTGTCGTATACCTGAGACATCAAACGTTCCACCCCCGAGGTCGAAAACGAGAATAGTCTCGTTGGTTTTCTTGTCAAAGCCATAAGCAAGAGAAGCAGCAGTTGGTTCATTGATGATGCGAAGAACTTCGAGACCGGCAATTCGACCAGCGTCTTTCGTCGCTGTCCTTTGCGAGTCATTGAAATATGCTGGGACTGTGACTACAGCTTTTCCTACTTGATCATTCAAGAACTTTGATGCATCATCCACCAGCTTTCTTAAAACCTATACGAACCAACAAAACTATTAGTCTGTAACAGAGTCAGAATTGAAACGATCACATTTGGTTAATGGTATTAGCAGCAGAGATTAAAGCTTAATTTAATCTCCTAAATTTTGATATTTTACACTTCTATACCAAATTTTTACTGTTATAGTTTCTTTTATAATTAATTTGAGGTAATTTAATTTTTTTAAATTACAAATATCGAATGGAAGTAATTAGTGAAAAGTCAAAGATACAAGTGTAAATTTTGATAACTAGAGACCAATACAAAATAAAACTCAAATTTAGGGGTAAAAATGTAATATTTTGAAACTTACAAACCAAATAAAAATTAAATTTAAAACCCAAAATATGGAAAGAAAAAAAGGGTAAATCTTGAGATCTAGGGGCCAAATAAAAATAAAACTCAAAATTATGGGTAAAAAGACAATATTTTAAATTTACAGACCAAAAGTAAGTTAAACTCAAAACCAAAGGTAAAATGATAAAATGATAAAAGTAAAAGAGAATCTGGATACCTCCATATTAAATAGAAATAATATTAAAGATTATGAGTAAAAATAACATTAAAAATTACGAGTAAAAATAGGGATTAAATAGAAATAACATTAAAAATTGAGTAAAAATAGAGATTAAATAGAAATAACATTAAAAATTAGGTGTAAAAATAGGGATTAAATAGAAATAACATTCAAAATTATAAATAAAAATATAATATTTTTATAATTTAGAGATCAAATGTAAATTAAAATAATAATAAATCTTAATATCCAGAAATCAAATAGAAATAAAACTCAAAATTATGGTTAAAAATATAATATTTTAAAATTAAGCAAAATAAATTATAAAAATGTAAATCTTGATATCTAAGAATCAAACAGAAATAAAACTAAAAAATGATGGGTAAAAATATAATATCCTAAACTTAAGAGACCCATATAAATTAAACTCAAAAAAAAAAAAAAAAAAGTGAGATGGAATAAATAACAAAAGTGTAAATTATAGGAAGTGAATCACACGATGGTTTATTTATGGTTTATTTATAAATGAGGAATGCTATCTCAAATGAATGAGGCCTCTTGGGGAAGCCCCCAAAGCAAAGCCATGAGAGCCATGTCAATAGAATCCCCAAATATCTAACAAAGAATTGTGAGCCCATCCTCAAATATCTAACAAAGAATTGTGAGCCCATCCTCAAATATCTAACAAAGAATTGTGAGCCCATCCTCCTAAGAAAGGAGTCGAGCCTCAATTAAGAAGCTCCATAAGCCTCAGGGATTGTACTTTGTTAGTACTTTGTTCAAGACGAGAATTGTTGAGGATTATTGGGGGTGAGTCCCACCGTGATTTATAAGGGAGGAATACTATCTCTATTGGTGATTTATAAGGGAGGAATACTATCTCTATTGGTGATTTATAAGGGAGGAATACTATCTCTATTGGTGATTTATAAGGGAGGAATACTATCTATTGGTACGAGGCTTTTTGGGAAGCCCAAAGCAAAGCCATGTGAGCTTAGGCTCAAAATGGACAATATCGTAACATTGTGCCTATCTAGGGCCTAAATTGAAACAAAATTATGGATAAAATTCTAATATTTGAAACCTTGAAGGACCAGATGTAAATTAAACAAAAAAACTCAGTACTCAACATAACCCTTAGAGATTCTATGAACATTCAACAATATATATCTCTATCAATCACTAGTCCAAAGAACTCAATACATTTCAATCCAAGTTCGAATCAATTATCCGGCAGATTCCAAACAGCTTTAAGGAGAGAAATGGAGAATACCTGAGCGGAAATCTCCTCGGCGGCGAATTGCTTGCCGACGGCAGGGCAATCGAGCTTCACATTCCCATTCTCATCGGCGATAACCTTGTAAGAGACTTGCTTAGCCTCCTCGTCCACCTCCGCCATCTTCCTTCCAATAAATCTCTTCACGGAGAAGAAAGTATTCTCCGGATTAACCACCGCCTGCCGCTTCGCCAACTGACCGACTAGCCGATCGCCAGTCTTCGTGTACGCCACAACCGACGGCGTCGTCCTCTGTCCCTCCGCGTTCGTCACGATCGTCGGTTGCCCTCCCTCCATCGCCGCGACCGCCGAGTTCGTCGTTCCTAAGTCGATTCCAACGACCTTCTCGCACCGGATTACGGCGGGCGCTGTACGTCGCCGTCCCCGATTCCAGGATTTGTTGGAATCCGGAAATCGGAGATTGGAGGATCGGAAAATGTGGAGCTGCGATGCTACTGCGGAACTGAAAGCCATTGGTGAGTGATTTGTGAGAAAGAAGAAGAAGTCGTGGAGAATGAATCTACAAGAAAATGGTGAGGAGGTGGAAATTATAGAGGGAAATGGCGGAGAACGTGAGAGATTAATGGGGAAGAACTTGGGGTGTTCGAGAAGGATCGAAGGGTTTCGGAGAAGAATTTGGAAGGGCCATTTGGGGATTTTTCTGTTGGGTTCCAGAGAGTTTCGGATTTGGAACGGGAAGAATCATTTCAAATATACTATTTTTATATTATTTCAAAAATACATTTAAATTTTAAAAGTAATATTTCATCAAGACATGGTACGAACAGCTATGCATGGGTCGGTCGATGGGAACTAAGATGATGATGAGATGTAACGTTACTGTTAAGGATATTTAATAATAAATTATAGTTTACCATATATATTATATTTGATATTTTATTATAAGGTAAATATCTAATATTTGTCTTATTATCCTATGTATCTTTCCATTTATTGTTATTTCCATTTATTACTATTTTCATATCCTTGTAATTCATTTGATTATAAATAAAATAACTTTCACACCATTTAAGTGTGGTGGATTAATCAAACATTCACATGGTATCAGAGCCCTTTCGGTTTAACAACCCTTATCCTTTCTTTTTAATGACTTTTGAATCCTCTAATCTTCTTCTCCACCACCCCTGCTGGTTTTGACGCCGCAGGGGCAGTCTTCATGGCTGCCGTAGTCGGAGCCGATTGATTACTCTTCGGCTCCACCCTATTGACCTCCAAATCACCTTTCGTCATACTCTGTACATACAACCTCACCTTTTTCAACCAAATCGGTTTTCCCCTTGGCCAATATAGTCTCTCTCATTTTCTTCCCAATCAACCTTCATCCTTCACATAAACCCTAACCTAAACCTATCAACCTTTTGCAGAGATTTACCTTCGGAATCTGGGTGCCGCACTGGCCTATTCGCCAACCAAGTTGCCGCCGCCCTTCCTGCCAAAATTGGCTTCTTCGCCCGATGAGGCGACTCTTCCGACTGCCCTTCTCGCCAAAATTGGCTCCTTCGCCCAATGTGGCGACTCTTCCGGCTTCAACATTGTCTTTGTCCCTTGCTCTAGGTTTCCTCTCCTACTTCTTGGGGTTAGAAATATTCTCACCAGAGCCAAGGCAGCATCGTCGCTAAGCGACAATCCCTCTTCATGGGTTAGACATATTCTCGCCGAAGCCAAGGCAGCATCACTGCTGAGCGGCGACCCCTCTGCAAATTTTTGATGGCCAAGAACCGGGTTGTTAGCATCTTCATGAAAAGTGTTTCTCAACCTCTTTGAATTTTTCAGATTCAAGCTTCACGTTCGTTTAAATCTGACGCTTAGCTTGCGGTGGGGTGTTAAGGATATTTAGTAATAAATTATAGTTTACCATATATATTATATTTGATATTTTATTATAAGGTAAATATCTAATATTTGTCTTATTATCCTATGTATCTTTCCATTTATTGTTATTTCCATTTATTACTATTTCCATATCCTTATAATTCATTTGATTATAAATAAGATAACTTTCACACCATTTAAGTGTGGTGGATTAATCAAACATTCACAGTTGCATTATGAGAGACCTTGGCCTAGTGTAGAAGCAAGTCAGCTGAAGTTGTAAATGATTGAACATGCATGCACGGGTTCTGCATGAGTTGTGTTCCGATGATGAGGGAAAATCTCGTCTAAGATTCGATGAAGCCACGAAAACGGGCAAAAAATGTGAATGGAGAATGAGTTCCCCTTAAGGTTTGTCATGAGAATGTCAAAATCATGACGTTGCACAGTTGAAAATGTACAACCATAACATCAAGCACCCCACAACAAACTAAGTTAATGAGGTTAATGTTATTTTTAACACCGTCCAAATGTGTTGATATGAACTAAGATATCTCAACCATGCTATGGAATTATGGTATTTCTTTAATAACATTTAAAAAAATTTATTTACTTTTAGATGACCTCTACATGATAGGGTTATCTAGAATGTCTAGGATTACGAGACATGTCTCATCTTTTCTAGGGTAAGTGGGAGAACATGTTCAATATAGAATATTCCGTACAACACATGTCTCCCCAGCTTAGTGCAAGTGGGAGATTGTTGGGATTTATGCCCGATTAATGTTTTATACTCTGATTGTAAAAGAGACTTGAAAATTATAGTAAGAAAAAACATTTGGGCTTTCTTTTAACCACGAGATAAGTTATTTGAAATTTTATGTAGTTTAGGTTGTGTCGAGGATGGTTGGATGATCAATTTTATTTGTGGAGTGATTCAAATCCCAAATACGTATTCTTGCCTGAAGATATTCGATCAATAAAATAATTCATATTTTATTTTCTCCGGAAGTGATTCCTTATCATTTTGAGAGTTGCAATCATTTGAAATGAAATCAAATTGATCGGAGCGTTTTTGTATTTTTGAACTAAAAATTTGCATTTCTAGAGCGGTTGTGAGAGGTTTGAGATTCAATGTTATGGAACTCTTGGAATTTGATCTAATAACCTTAAGAACAAGACGGGTACAGATTTAATTTTTTTTTAATATATAAATTGGAAAAATATATTATTTTATTAATTTAACCTTTAAAATAAAATAATAAACATTGTAATTTCCACGTGGATGGTTGAGTGTACGGCTATCAACAAGCAACAAGTCTCAGCCACTGAGAAATGCAAAAACCTTATCTCCATTTTCCTAATGCATCACCTCAAAATAAATAAATAAAATTTAAAATAATAAAATAAATAAATAAATAAAAATTACAATAAAAGTTCCCAAAATCCGCGGCTATTGACGGCGGTTTCAACGACGACGACGCCCTAACCCTCTTCCAACAATGGTCCATTTGCTCCCAAATCCCCTCCGAGTTTCATCGCACCTCCGCTCGGATCCGCCGCGCACGGCGGTCCGTGCCAGAGCGAAGTCCGGCACCGGCCGCTACGAGATCTTGAGAAATGGAGGAATTAAGGTGAGATTGGCGGTGGTTGTGCGGTGTAGCAGTGATTATTCGAGTCCGATCACGGCGGCGATCGGAACATCGGAAGAAATTGAAATTAGCAACGAAAATGCGTATTTGGCGACGGAATTTGGATGGAAGGTGAGGAAATTGATCGAAGAAGAAGATGATTTGAGAACGGTTGCGAGGATTCAAGCCGAAGCGTTCCATGAACCTGTTCTTCTTTTCAACCATTTTTTCTTCCAGTTCTTCCAGGTTTTCCCCCCTTTCTCTATTTCTTATTAAAATTTCTATTAAAGTTTTTTTTTTTTTTAATTAACTCTTTACCTAAAAAATATTAAAATTAAAATTTGATAATAAGAAAATATTTTAATTTTAGTTTTTTTTTTAAATTTTATATTTTAAATTGAATCATAATATATATATATATTTAGTACAGAGTCATTTATTTAAATTTTTATTTTTAATAAAAAAAATAATTTGTAAAACATTTATGGCTGATCTAAAAATTATTTTTAAAGGTGGTTGGAGGCTAAATAATTTAAAATAATTATTTTATTATTAAATAAAATAATAATAAATTTTTGGGATCATAGTAAATTTTTTCAATCAAAATAATAATTATTAAATAAGAATTGAATCATATATATATATATATATATAAATTTTTTTTTTAATAAAAATAAAAAGTTAGTTTCAAAAATATTTACCGAAAAGTAAAATTTTTTTTGAAGGGTCATTGGAGACTAAATAATTTAAAAATAATTATTTATTTTATTGTAAAAGGAAAAACAGGTTGGTTTTATTTATTTTATTTTTAATTTGAACGTTAAAAAGAGATGTAATTTGTTAATTTTTATAATTTTTTTTTCCTTTCAAATAATTTTAAAAAAATCACATTAAAAATAAATGCAGTTTTATTACAGGCAGAAGTGCTTTCAGCGTTGATTTACAGATTGAAAAATTACCCACCAGACAGGTATGCTTTTTGTTTATAATAATTCAATTAATTAAGTAATTATCATAAATATTAAATTATTGTTTAACATATTTTTAATTCATCAACAAACTATTTTTCTATTTATTTAATTATATTTAAATAAAATAAGTCCTCAATTGATGTTTTATTTTTTAAAATTAAGTGTTTTTTTTAGAAAAGTAAAAAAAATTATAATAAATATAGAAAGGAAAAGAACAAAGATTCTTGATTTTTATTAATATTTAATAAATGGGTGACTTATTAAATAACTTTTAAATTTATAAATTTATTAAACACAAAATTAAATAGTAAAAGTTTTATTATTCACATCGAGTAAGTCGGGAAATTGAAGAAAGAAATGTAACGCTCGATGTCTTCCCTTGTTTTGGAATCCGAATTCGGTACTTGTGTTTTCCACGAATCCCTTGCAACATCGTTACATTACTTATTTCTTGTTTTTAAGAGTACTATTTCCATAAATCAACACGAGTCATTTCAGCATTCTTCGTTTTTACTTGTATGCATTTTAGGAAAATGTTTAGGACCGACGTGTGTTCTCTAGGTACTTGTGTTTTCTCTCATTCAAACTCCGACCATGTTGCATGAGAATTATGAAGCTATGAGATGTCAAATCCTGATATTCGGGTTTCCCCTCAAGACTTTAAAATGCGTCTTCTAGGAGAAGGTTTTCACACTCTTATAAATGGTGTTTTGTTCTCCTCCCCAACTAATGCAGGACATCACTCGAAGTCTGTTAAGACACAGAATCTAGAGTTTAGAGATCTAATAAAAAATTTCAAAATTGTCGGGTGTCGGGCTAAATTTTAAGAATAATAAAAATAAAAATATTATTTTTCTTCGATTTTAAATTACGTAATCAAGTTGGTTTATGCGAACAGGTATGCTTGTTTGGTTGCAGAGCCAGAGAGTGAAGGCTGTAAAGATGAGTACAACTTTGTGGGAGTGGTGGACGTGACGGTGGCCGGAGATTTGAAAGTCAGGCGCCTCCTTCCCGCCGGCGTCAAAGAGTATCTCTTTGTAACTGGAATCGCCGTCGACCAAACTGCAAGGTTTGCATATTTCAATTACCTTTTTTATTAATTTTATTTTTATTGGTTATCACCTATTTTATATTTAATAAATATTTTTTTAATATGAAAAAAAAAATTAATATCATTAAAACTTTAAATAAAATACAAAGTTTATTGGAATATAAAGTTTAAATTGAAAAATTAATTAAAATTATTTAACCAATATTACAAATTTAATCTAAAATTATAAATAGTAATTTTTTGGGGTTAAATTTCAATGATTATTATTAATTATGGTTTTTTTTAAAAAATAATCTTAATTTTTAAAAAATTTCAATAATACACTTAACCGATTAAAAATTAATATGAATGAAAATCCTTTAATATTTTGTGTCAAAAATACTCTTTTAACTTTCAAACGGTTTAAAAAAAAATACATAACTTTCAAAACTGTTCAAAAATAATATTTTTTAAAAATTTCAAAATAAAAAAATTAAAAAATACCCTATTATTAGTACACGTTTCAAAAATATTCATGAACTTTGAAAAATAACTTTTAAATATTTGGAGATAACCTACGAGTTATCGATAAATGGTCTTCATCCATATATTAACCGTAAGAATTCTTTTTAATTTTTTTTTTTTATAAAGATAAAAAATATTAATATTATTTTTAAATTTTCATGAATATTTTTTAAATATAATATCAACAAATTTAGATTTTTTTTTTAAAGTTGAAAGGTATTTATTTTATTTATTATTATAATAGAAGGCGCAAAGTAGCAACGGCACTATTGAAGGGGTGTGACATGTTAGCGAGGGTTTGGGGCTTCAAGTTTTTGGCGTTAAGTGCATACGAAGATGACTATGGTGCTCGTAATTTGTATAGTAAAGCTGGGTATCAGGTTTTGTATGTTGACCCTCTTTGGAAATCTTCTTGGATTGGAAGAAAACGTTGTGTTACTATGGTTAAGCAACTTTAGCGATATCAATCTGAACATAATTTATTAGATACGACACTAACATCTCAAACGTTAATGGTTCATAGGGGTGCTAAAAAAACTCGATGACCCGAAAAATCCGTTCAAACTAATCATACTCGTATAGTTCGAGTTAAGTTATGAATTTGTTTAGGGTTCGGATCAAATAACTGAAAGCTATCTGGATTTGGTTGAAATAAATTAACTTGAATTGTTGTTAATTTTAAAATATATGTTTTTACTTGTGATATACAATCCAGATTGTTAGCTCTCGTTCATAGTTTTGCTACAAATGATACACGAGGTGGTTATTCCTTCTAATGACCGGCCTATCGATGATTCTTTGGTCTCTAGAACCTATAAAAAAGAGATGGTTGTGGCGTGAAGTACCCTTGTGCACCTATGGCACCGGATTGAACAAGGTAAAAAACAGAGAAAGTAAATATGAATTAGAACTAAAAAAAACGTCCCAACTCAGTTTAAGTCAACTCAACTCACGAATAAAAAAGTTTACAACTTGAACAATCGTGTTAGGTTTAAAAAATATCCCAGCTCAAAACTCAATCTGTGAACATGTGTACTAGTTTAATGTTACATGATGGGTAAGAGTAGAAGGAAATAAAAAAATAAAAATAAAAAAATAAACGGTCTTTCCACTCGACCTCTTGACCCAATTCTTTCAAAATTTTCATCCTCTCAACCACTCCTCTCCCTCGACCATATTGTCCTTTGGGGGCCTAGTGTCAGGGTCATGCTTGTCCAAGACATGTCTCCCATGGCTGCATGCCCGTGACACGCCGAAACCTTTGCCTTGTACTACTTTATTGCTTTCTTTTACTGCTTTCATGTTATATTATTTCTTTTTTATTTTCTTTAAGAGTATGACGTTTCGACGATGTCATGGCTATGCATGGTAGACATGAAATGCCTCAAAATGTACTGCAGGGATACAACTAAGTGTCAACTTCTCCTTACCCAATAAGTTATATGTAGTAAGTTGTTGTTGTTGCCTGTTTGTTTTAGTTCCCATCTAACATCAATCTCTCTCTCTCTTGCTTTCAAAACTCTTTTTCTAAAACCTCTCTCCCTCGCTCTCTAAAATCTTCTCTTGAAATCGGGACCCGAGGTTTGTATTCACGTTGCCTGACCGCATGCAACATAATTCGAAGTAGGCTTAACCCACTTAGTGCTGAGAGTGGGTGCCGCACAATCGAAAAATCCGCTGCCTAAAAACCGCGATTGTGACAGTTGGTATCAGAGCCTAATTGGCTCCAAAGTGACTGGTAGACATGTCTTCGACTAAACAGTTGAACAAGTCCCATATTGACAGATTAGTTGAAATAGAAGAACAAATGCAATACTTGCGGGAAGTCCTCGATAGTATTCGATTCCTAGATGAGCTAGTGAAAGAACTTACTGACAAGATCCTCGCCGTTGACGCAATAAATGGTCGACTAGATGGGTTGCCCATTCAAGACGAATGGAAAACCTAGAAACATAAACCACAAAGAATGGTGGTTTCGAGCGAGGAGACAGCTCGACAGGCTCTGCTGGCCTGATTGAGGAGCGAGTCGATGGACTAGATAGCTCCCAAAAAGCAATGTTTCAGATGGTCACTGAACTATTTGAAGATGTAAAAGCAGCCCTCGACGTAGTCAGGGTAGAAATGGCAGACATAAGCGCCAAAGTAAACTTTGCCATAAGAGCGGTGGAGAACCAAACCCCTACCTGGAGGACAATGCGACCCAACAAGGTCAAACTTCCTAAACCCAAGCCCTTCTCTGGGGCTTGGGACACCAAGGCCTTAGAGAACTACATCTTCGACCTTGAGCAGTACATTAAAGCGACTAACACTGAGACAGAGGAAGAAAAGATCACTGTGGCCACCATGCATCTGGCTGAGGATGCGAAACTGTGGTGGCACTCGAAGTATGTAGACATCCAAGAGGGCCGATGCACAATAGACACTTTGAAGAGACTAAAACAGGAGCTTTGGTCTCAATTCTTCCCAAGGAATGTGGAGACCATGGCCAGAAGGAAATTACGCGACCTTAAACGTACGAGCAGCATTCAAGAATATGTCAAATAGTTCTCGTTAATCATGTTAGACATTCGATAGATGTCTGAGTTAGATAAGATCTTCCAGCTCACAAAAGGACTAAAGCCATGGACAACTATATGAGCATGACATAGAAGATCTCTCCACGACCTATGCTATGACCGAACGACTGTTCGACTTGAACAACGAACAACCCAAAGAGACAAGGCAAAACCAAGCCTCCTCAAGTGGAGGTAATCGCAACCACACCTCTAATCTCCAGAATGGGAGGACGAGACATATCGAAGATCGGAGGAGTTGAGACTGTTAGATAAAAGTTGTGGTGTCCTTAGATTTCTTTGAGTTGTTTTTTACTTTTGAAATTTCTGAATTTACGCTCACCCATTGAATGGAAGCAGTAATTTTTGCTGGCCATCTTGGCCAACTTTAGGCCAAATTTTTGCCCACTTTTTATATTTTTATGATTAGGTTTGTTATTTAAAAAATTAACTCAATGAAAATAACTAGTAATCAGCAAATCTCGGTTTTTCGTCGACGTTTTTGCCAGAAGTCAACGAGTGGTATCAGAGCCCGGTTGAAGCCATCGTTGGTATATCATTGCGGAGGAGCCAAGGTTATTAACAGTCAAGGTGAATAGCTCAAATTGTTAGATCGTCGACCTAACAACACATAGGTCTCAGGTTCGAGTAGAAGAAAATGCAAAGCGCGAAAATACATAAATCGTGGTGTCCATCTTGGGTAGGCTCACTCACTCTCCTCCTCTACGATAAACGATCGGGTATCGCGGGAGGATCGGGCTGGTGTTCACCGCCAATATTATGATACATGCCCCCAGAGATGTTGGCATCTCTCTCCACCAAATGCATCGCATAATCGTCTGGTCGGTGTTATAGCGAGTGTGGGTCCAACATTGAGGAGCTCTCCGGGGGCGCATGACATCATTGCTGGCCCGGCCTTAACATTCTTGCCAATACATTATCCTCATTCTGTTCTGAATTGTAATCTCTAATAAAAAATATTTCTCCATGAGAAAAATAAAGAGTACATGTGTTGAGCTACCAAGGAAGTAATAACCCAGGCTAAAGCAAGGCCTAATTGAAAATGAAGTGAATTATTGATTGTGTCATAAAGACCTTTATGTCCACGCCCCAATCGTCCCCCCGGCGGAATATGTGCTGAAGCGAATTATTGATTGTGTCATAAAGACCTTTATGTCCACGCCCCAATCGTCCCCCCGGCGGAATATGTGCTGAGCCATATCAGTCAGCCATAAACTTTGCGTTTGCGGATGGAATCCCCCGAGAAGGGTTAGAATGGCAGTTCCTGCTCCTTCGGAAGTACCAAATAAATGATTATTTGAATTGGGGTTTTGAACATAAAGATTCCACTGACCTGTAAAAAGTGGAATGATAGCTTAAAGTTCTTTGACATCTCCCTCTTGAACCTTTCGAGGACTTCCATGTCGCCTCCAGTGATTATGAGGTCGTCGATGTACACTCCCACAATCAACCGCTGCTCGTCGTGGCCGTGCGTATACATGCCATGCTCAAAGGCACAACACTTGAACTTCAGTGATAGTAGGGTACTGTCGAGCTTCGCGTTCCAGGCTCGTGGTGCTTGCCAAAGCCCGTAGAATGCCTTGTGCAGGCGTAGTACCTTACCCGGGTTGTCGTTGTTTAGGAAGCCAGGTGGTTGTCGGACGTAGACGGTCTCTTTCATCTCTCCATTAAGAAAAGCGGACTTCACGTCCATGTGGTGGACCTTCCAAGAGTAATGTGCCGCGATTGCCAGCAAAAAGCGGACGAATTTTAATCTTCGCCACCAGACGGGCCTTGTGCTTCACAACTTTTCCCTTTTCGTTGCGCTTGAGTTTGAAGACCCATTTGAGCCCCTTATGGCTCGGTGTCCTGGCGGCATATCCTCCAGACTCCATGTCTAGTTCTCGGTGATGGATGTCACTTCTCCTGCATTGCTTTAGCCAGCATGGATTTCATTCTGCTTCGGCGAAGGTGTTCGGTTCATCTGGCTGATGGGCATGCAGGTTGGCCACTTCTTCAAGCTCGCGCACCGCTAGTCTAGGTGGTTCACCTAAACAAGTTTCAGCAATGTCTTTGCTGAATACGGTCGGGGGTAATATGATCGGTCGTCTATCTCTTCAATCGGTCGCCAACNCGAAGCCTTGAGAACCAGAACCAGACATCCATCACCGAGAACTAGACTAGCGGTGCGCATCAGCCAGATGAACCGAACACCTTCGCTGAAGCAGAATGGAACCCATGTTGGCTAAAGGCAATGCAGGAGGAGTGACATCCATCACCAAGAACCAGACATGGAGTCAGGAGAATATGCCATAGGGACACCGAGCCATAGGGGGCTCAAATGGGTCTTCAAACTCAAGTGCAACGAAAAGGGAGAAGTTGTGAAGCACAAGGTCCGTCTGGTGGTGAAGGTTAGAATCCGTCCGCCTTTTGCTGGCAATCGCGACACATTACTCTTGGAAGGTCCACCACATGGACGTGAAGTCCGCTTTCCTTAATGGAGAGATGAAAGAGACCGTCTACGTTCGACAACCACCTGGCTTCCTAAACAATGACAACCCGGGTAAGGTATTGCGTCTGCACAAGACATTCTATGGGCTTTGGCAAGCACCACGAGCCTGGAACGCGAAGCTCGACAGTACCCTACTATCACTGAAGTTCAAGCGCTGGGCCTTTGAGCATGGCATGTACACGCACGGCCACGGCGAGCAGCGATTGATTATGGGAGTGTACATCGACGACCTCATAATCACTGGAGGCGACATGGAAGTCCTCGAAAGGTTTAATAGGGAGATGTCAAAGAACTTTAAGATGAGCGATCTCAGCGTACTCAGCTACTACCTCGACATCGAAGTGCAACAGAGTACTACTGACATCACCATCTGCCAAAGTGCGTACGCGAAGAAGCTGCTGGACACAACTGGGCTTGCAGACAATAACCCTACAAGGACGCCAATAGAGGCTCGACTCCAACTAAGGAAGGCCGGCACTACGACGACAGTCGATGCCACCAATTACCACAACATTGTCGGGAGCCTGCGCTATCTGGTAAACACACGCCCTGACCTTGCTTACTCAGTTGGATATGTGAGTAGATTTATGGAAGCACCTCGGGAGGAGCATCTTGTGGCTGTCAAGCGCATCCTGCGCTATGTGGCTGGAACTAGTGGCTGGGGTGTGAGATACAGCGCAGGGAAAGGAAAGACGAAGCTTGAGCTGGTCGGCTACAGTGATAGTGACATGGCCAATGACGTTGATGATCGTAAGAGCACGAGTGGGATGATCTACTTCCTCTCAGGCGGCGCGATCTGCTGGCAATCAACAAAACAAAAGGGGGTCTGGCTTGCGTGACTGATGGAAGAACTCATCGGGAGAGAAAGCGATCCACCAATGCTATACATGGACAACAAAGCCACGATCTCCCTGATAAAAAATCCAGTTTTGCACGACCGGAGCAAACACATAGAAAGCAGATTCCACTGCATCAGAGAATGTGCAGATCGAGGGCACATCAAGATTGATTTCATCCGAATAGAGAAACAACTTGGAGACATTTTCACCAAGTACCTAGTGCGGGTAAAATTTGAAGAACTACGCTCAAAGATCGGAGTTCAAATAATAAGGTAGATATAGCACAACTTTTAGGAGAAGATTGTTAGATAAAAGCTGTGGTGTCCTTAGATTTCGTTAAGTTGTTTTTTACTTTTGAAATTTCTGAATTCACGCTCACCCGTTGAATGGAAGAGCATAATTTTTGCTGGCCATTTTGGCCATTTAGGTGCAAGTTTTTTCCCACTTTTTCTATTTTTATGATTAAGTTTGTTATTTAAAGAAATAATTGAATGAGAAATAACCATCGAGTCTTCACCAATTCTCTCCCTCTCTCCTTTTACTTTCCGCTATTTTTTTTTCGAAGAAATTTTCCTTCGGCAGTTTGTTTTTCATCGACGCTTTTGCCAGAAGTCAACAGAGACAAGACAACCCCAACAGGGGCCTCACAATCAGAATCACTTCAATTGACCACCTCTCTCTACCATAGGGTGTATGAATGTCAAAGAGGGCGTGACTACAAGCGATTCAAGCCGCATTAGACGCAGACGCAGATGCAAAATCCGAGGGCGAAGAAATCAAGAAAGTGTTGAACATAGAAACACCCCAGATGGGAGCCTTGAAGTTCTTATCTGCACTTCAAAAGAAGACAAGGGAACAAAGAGAGCCGATCGAAAAATGTCTCATGTATGTGGAAGAGTGGTTGAATCACAAGTTTGCCAAGAATACGATGGTCGATTCAGGAGCCACCCACAACTTCATGACCGAGACAGAAGCGAATCGGTTGAACATCAAATGGCATCGAGACTCGGGGAAGATGAAGGCCGTCAACTCTGTGGCCTTACCGATTCTCGAAATAACGAGGAAGACGACACTTAAGTTGGGAACATGGAGTAGCTTGGTGGACTTTGCAATTGTCAAAATGGACGACTTTGATGTGGTACTCGGGATGGAATTCCTTTTGGAACATAAGGTGATCCCCATACCCTTGGCCAATTGCCTTGTCATAACAGGGTCAACACCAACTGTTGTTCAGATAAGTATCAAACAGTTCGACGGAATCAAAATGATTTTGGAGCTCCAACTTAAATGTGGTCTTGCACATAATGAACCAACGTTCATGGCCATCCCAATGGTGGAAACCAAAAGAACGGTTGACATTATTCCCGTAGAAATACAGTGTGTACTAGAAGAGTACTGAGAAGTAATACCGAAGAGTCTACCAAAAACTTTATCACCTCGTCGACGCATAGACCACGAGATTGAATTGATACCGGGGTTGAAACCCCCAGCAAAGAACGCTTCTAGAATGGCTCCACCCGAGTTAGCGGAGCTACGAAAACAGTTGGATGAACTACTTACTGCTGGATTCATCAAACTTGCGAAAGCCCCCTACGGAGCCTCAGTATTATTTTAGAAGGATGGGTGTCTTTGCCTATTCATAGACTACTGTGCCCTAAACAAGATCACTGTCAGGAATAAATACCCTCTACCCATCATTACCGACTTGTTCGATCGACAACATGGCGCAAAGTATTTCTCGAAACTCGACCTAAGGTCGGGATATTATCAAGTTAGGATTGCTGAGGGAGATGTGCCCAAAACGACTTGCATCACTAGATATGAGGCCTGTGAATTCCTAGTCATGCCTTTTGGGTTGACTAATGCCCCTACCACATTCTGCACCTTAATGAACCAAGTCTTCCACGAGTATCTCAATAAGTTCGTGGTAGTCTATTTGGACGACATAGTGGTCTATAGCTCCACCATGGAAAAGCATGAACACCACCAACAGTTAGTTTTCGAAAAGCTTAGAGAACACCAATTATATGTGAGGAGGGAAAAATGAACGTTTGCACAACAGCGAATCAACTTCCTTGGACACGTAATAGAAGCAAGCAAGGTAGACATGGAAGAGGAGAAAGTCAAGGCCATCAAGGAGTGGAAGACCCCCTTCTCAGTGACAGAAGTGCGCTCTTTTCTTGGGTTGGCAAATTACTATCGGTGATTCATTGAAGGATTTTCGAAGCACGCAGAACCCTTGACCAAATTACTAAAGAAGGGAAACAATTGGAGTTGGACTTCACAGTGCCAAGAAGCCTTTGAGAACCTTAAGAATGCCATGATGGAAGGGCCAGTTTTTGGGATTGCCGATGTGAAGAAACCTTTCGAAGTTGAGATGGATGCATCAGACTTTGCCCTAGGGGGCGTCTTACTGACCCCATTGTATACGAGAATCGGAAGCTAAACGATGCAGAAAGAAGGTACGCACCGTTCGAGAAAGAAATGCTAGCAGGGGTCCATTGTTTACGATCTTGGAGACAGTACCTCCTCGGAACCAAGTTTGTAGTCAAGACAGACAACAGCTCTATATGTCACTTCTTTGATCAACCCAAGTTATCGTCGAAGCAAGCACGTTGGCAAGAATGCGTGGCCGAATTTGACTTTTAGTTCAAACACAGGCCAGGTAAAGAAAACCAAGTTGCAGACGCCTTAAGTCGAAAAAGCGAACATGCAACCCTGTGCATGTTGGCCCACCTACATGCAAGTAAGTTGAGCGGAACGATACGGGAAAGTATTGATGAACACCTAGCCAAAGACCCGGCTGCTCAGGCCATCATGCAGCTAGCCAAAGAGGAGAAGACTCACCAATTTTGGGTCAAAGACAATTTACTCTTTACCAAAGGAAATCGTCTTTACGTCCCCCGTTCGGGGAAATTGAGAAGACTCCTACTAAAGAATGCCACGACACACCATGGGTGGGCCACAACAGGTGGCAAAGAACCTATGCCCTTCTAAAAAGGGGGTACTATTGGTCGAATCTCCACGACAATGCGATACAATTCACAAAGATCTATCTTATCTGCCAATAAGACAAGGTTGAGCAAAACAAAATTGCGGGACTAGTCTCGACCATGGGAAAGTGTTTCTTTGGATTTCATCACACACCTCCCCAAGGTAGGAGAAATGGAGTCAATCTTGGTCATCATCGACAGATTCTCTAAATATGCCACATTTATCCCAACCCGCAAGTCATGCTCGGCCGAAGTGACCGCACAATAATTTTTCCGACATGTAGTCAAGTTATGGAGCATTCTCACCAGCATTGTCAACAATCGCGATCCGAGATTCACAGGGTCCTTCTGGACTGGATTGTTCAAGCTATTGTGGTCAAGCCTAAACGTCTCTTCAAGTTATCACCCCACAACTGACGGACAAATAAAAAGGTTCAATAGTATGTTTGAGGAGTTCTTACGTCATTTTATCGATGCGCGACAGAAGAATTGGGTTCAGATGCTCGATGTTGCTCAGTTTAGCTTCAATTGCCAACAAAGCTCGTTGACAGGGAAAACCCCTTTTGAAATAGTATGCGGCAGATAGCCACTCATGTCCCATGTCATTGACCACCCTTATGCCGAGAGAAGCCCTCAAGCATACAACTTCACCAAAGAGTGGAAGCATACCTCTGAAATAGCACGAGCGTACTGAGAGAAAGCCTCCAGAAGAATGAAGAAGTGGGCAGACCGCAAACGAAGAGCATTAGAGTTCCAAGCTGGTGACCAATATTCAAGCTGAGATTAGAACAATTTAGATTCCGTGAGAATCAGGACCAGCGACTAGTGCGAAAATATGAGGGACCAATTGAGGTCATCGAGAAAGTCGGAAGGACTTCATACCGTCTCCAACTACCTACATGGATGAAAATTCACCCTGTCATCCATGTAAGCAACCCTAGGTCATACCATCCAGACGACGACGACCAGCAACGCAACCAAGTGACACTATCATCAGTAACGATGAAGGACTCGAGTAAGAAGGAAGTAGAAAAGATCTTGGCCGAGCGAACCCATCACATTGGCAAACCTAGGCATAACTTACAGGAATTTTTAGTCAAGTGGAAAGAACTTCCAGAAGAAGAAATCAGCTGGGAATGTGCCGACGACCTAAAGACAGCTGCACCTCAAATTGCAGAATTCGAAGAAATGAGACGGTTGACAGGGACATCAACCAATTAAGTTGGAGAGGATGTCATGGTCATGCTTGTCCAAGGCATGTCGCCCATGGCCGCATGCACGTGACACGCCGAAACCTTTGCCTTCTACTATTTTATTGCTTTCTTTATTACTTTCTTTTACTGCTTTGATGTTGTATTATTTCTTTCTTATTTCCTTTAAGAGTATGACGTTTTAGCGATGTCATGGCTACGCCTGGTAGACATGAAATGTCTCAAAATGTACTATAGGGGGATACGACTAGTTGTCAACTTCTCACACCCGGGAAGTTATATGTAGTAAGCTGTTGTTGTTGTCTTTTTGTTTAGGTTCCCATATAACATCAATCTCTCTCTCTCTTGCTTTCAAAACTCTTTTTCTAAAACCTCTCTCCCTCCCTTTCTAAAATCTTCTCTTGAACTCGGGACCGAGATTTGTATTCACGTTGCCTGACCGCTGGCAACGTAATTCGAAGTAAGCTTAACCCACTCAGTGCTGAGAGTGGGTGCCGCACAATCGCCAAATCTGCTACCTAGAATCCGCGATTATGGCACCTAGCATACTCGCTGACACACTGCCCAGTGTCTGGTTTTGATACATAATTTGTAAAAACCCAAACCCAACAGCTAACCTTCAATAACATATTTTCCGCTAAGGAATGTTTAGATCTTACAATCCACCTCGTTGGAGGCCAGTGTACAATCCATCCCTCTTGGGGGCTAGCGTCTTTGTTGGCACACTGTTCGATGTCTAGCTTTGATACCATTTGTAACAGCCCAAACTCACCGCTAGAAGATATTGTCCGCTTTGGCCCGTTACGTATTGCAACAGCCTCACAATTTTAAAACGCATCTGTTCGGGAGAGATTTTCACACCCTTATAAGAAATATTTTGTTCTCCTTTCCAATATATGTAGAATCTCACATAATTTAACTCTAAAAGTAGCTTGCAAGAAATAATTGAAATCAGCCAATCTGCATATAGCTCAGCTAACTACAACTTAGACTCTTGACTAAAATTTGTAACGTTTGAATTTCTCATCTCACATGTTTTACGATGTATATATATGTCACATTAATTAGGGAGGTAGGCAAAGTCACGCCATTAATAATTCATTGGTATGAAGTAAAAGATAGTAAGGTAGATTACTCATTTCCAATTGTGGTAACTTAATCATCACAATTATACCAAAATTTTCAAAAAATGCCAAGTTCTTAATTAGCATAGAAATGTTCAAAATTCTGTCAAATTTCACATTCTTTTTCTTTTTCCTTACCAAAACATCAATAAAACCAACAAATGATTCTAGACGGGATCAACCCCGCTTTTCCTTTACGACAAAGGCTTAGCAACCAGGTTCGTCCCATTCGAATTAACCCAATTTTTTTCGATACTAAAAAGAGCTTTTATTACGCAAGGAAACCCGATATTTATAAGAATTTTATGTTCTAACTTTTTTTATACCTCGAAATTGAAAGAGATTTGTTAGGATCGCTCACCAACGCACACACTCAATCAAGATGAACACAAAGACCAAGAGAGAGAAAATTCAAGGAAGAATATTGGCAAGTTTTATTGAACTCACTCATACACATGAACACAAAACCATGGGAGAACAAATTCAATGAGAAATATTGGCTAAAAGTTTTATTAAACTCATACTCGTCAAGATGAACACAAAAACCAGTTTGAAATCACATTTAGTTATGTACAACAACAAAGAATATAGAGAATGGAAAAAAAGTACATTTTGAAAGCACTACCTATCGGGTATATATATGGTTTACGTTTACTAAATATTTAACCTACTCGATATATTGTACAAAATATATTTCTACCAAATATTTACGAAATATTTACCATATATATCTCCTACTAGATCTTTACGAAATATCTACCATATATATTTCCTTTTACCAATAGACATCAGGCTCCATATCCCAACGAGATTATTATCATGAAGAAACTGGATCTTTACGAAATATCTACCATATATATTTCTACCAGATATTTTACTACATTAGGGTCCATATCCCAACAAGATTATCATCATCGAAGAAACCGGATCTTTACAAAATATCTACCATATATATTTCTACTCGATCTTTTACCAATAGACATCAGGCTCCATATCCCAACAAGATTATCATCATCGAACAAAACGACAAAGAGTGAAAACGACAAAGAGTGAAAACAGATTTGAATATCTTTAACAAGAAGAATGGATCCAAATTAAAGAGAACAAACTTTAACGTATACATTGTGAATATCATGATTACAAGTGTGTGAAGCTCCATTTTATATGCATTATTTACTTACTTTAAAATTTCAGTTTCAATTCCAATTTTTTTAGTGTAAAATGAGATGAAGAAAGAAGAGAAAAGTGGAGTTTTAGAGATGGAGAAGAGGATAAGGAAGAAGCTGAAGAACACCAACTTTATTCCATGGGAGGAGAAGAAAGAACTGATAGATAAAGAAGAAATTCAACTCCATAAAGACTTGGATCAACTTACGAATTGGGTATCATTTTTCATTCTCTTCTCTATTCCATTTGATTTTGATGTGTCTTTTTCATTGAATACAAAGCTTTGTGATTTGAAGATAAAAATGGTGGATTCCATGAATGATGAGAAGCTCAAAGATTATCTTCAACATCGACCAAATGAATTCAAGATTCTCAAAATTCCAAGGTGTAACCCTAGGCGAAATGTAAGATTTTACTGTTCGTCGTTTTTAATGTTTTGCAATTTTTTAGGTTTGAGAACGAGTTTGAGACGTTTTGATGGGTAAGTTTTCGATTTTATTGGAGAGTTTATGAATGTAGTTTTGAGAATTTGTATGGAACAGTTGGTGTCTTCGAGATTTCCTTATATCTTATGTAACCTAATATATCGTGTGATATCATGAATTGAGTGTTTCTGCATCTTTTATGTCATAATACGTTGTGTAATATCATGTGTTGAGTTTTCTTGCAATTTTTTTTGCATGATATGTTTTGGGATCTTATGAGCTGAATTTCTCTGTATCTTTTGTGAGCTAATATGTCGTGGGATATCTTGATTCGAGTTTCTCTGTATCGTTTGTGACTTAATATGTTGTATGATATCATGATTCGAGTTTCTCTACATCTTTTGTGACATAATATGTCGTGTGATATCATGATTCAAGCTTCTATGTATCTTTTGTGACCTAATATCTCGTTTGATATCATGATTCGAGTTTCTCTATATCTTTTGTGACCTAATATGTCATGTTCGAGTTTCTCTGTATCTCTTGTGACATAATATCTCGTGTGGTATCATGATTCGAGTTTCTCTATATCTTTTGTTACCCGATATGTCATGTGATATTTTGATTCAAGTTGCTCTAGATCTTTTAGAAATAATATGTCGTGTGATATCATAATTTGAGTTTCTCTGTATCTTTTGTGACCTATGTTGTGTGATATCATGAATCGAGTTTCTCTGCATCTTTTGTGACCTAATATGTCGTGTGATATCCTGATTTGAGTTTCTACGTATCTTTTGTGACCTAATATCTCGTTTGATATCATGGTTCGAGTTTTTCTCTATCTTTTGAGACCTATTATGTTGTGTGTATCATGATTCGAGTTTCTCTGTATCTTTTGTGACCTATGTTGTGTAATATCATGATTCAAGTTTCTTTAGATCTTTTGTGACCTAATATGTCATGTGATATCCTGATTCGAGTTTCTCTACATCTTTTGTGACTTAATATGTTGTGTGATATCATGATTCGAGCTTCTATGTATCTTTTGTGACCTAATAACTCGTTTGATATCATGATTCGAGTTTCTCTATCGTGACCTAATATGTCGTGTGATATCATGATTCGAGTTTCTCTATATCTTTTGTGACTTAATATCTCATGTGGTATCATGATTCGAGTTTCTCTATATTTTTATGACCTAATATGTCGTGTGATATCATGATTCGAGTTTCTCTATATCTTTTGTGACCTAATATGTCGTGTGTATCATGATTCGAGTCTCTCTGTATCTTTTGTGACCTATATTGTGTAATATCATGATTCGAGTTTCTCTGTATCTTTTGTGACCTAATATGTCGTGTGGTATCATGATTCGAGTTTCTCTATATTTTTTGTGACCTAATATGTCGTGTGATATCTAGATTTGAGTTTCTCTGTATCTTTTTTGACATAATATGTCTATGATATCATGATTTGAGTTTCTCTGTATCTTTTGTGACCTATGTTGTGTAATATCATGATTCAAGTTTCTCTAGATCTTTTGTGACCTAATATGTCATGTGATATCATGATTCGAGTTTCTCTACATCTTTCGTGACCTAATATGTCGTGTGATATCATGATTCAAGCTTCTATGTATCTTTTGTGACCTAATATCTCGTTTGATTTCATGATTCGAGTTTCTCTATATCTTTTATGACCTAATATGTTGTGTGTATCATGATTTGAGTTTCTCTGTTTCTTTTGTGACCTATGTTATGTAATATCATGATTCAAGTTTCTCTGGATCTTTTGTGACCCTAATATGTCATGTGATATCTTGATTCGAGTTTCTCTGTATCTTTTATGACCTAATATGTCGTGTGATATCCTAATTCAAGTTTCTCTATATCTTTTGTGACCTAATATGTCGTGTGATATCATGAGTTCTCTCTCTTTTTTTCTTTGAAGATTTTTCCTATAAATTAGTTAGTTCTTTCCACATAAACTGTCCAATTCTTTTCACATAAACTGTCCATATAAACGGTCCTTAATCGTATGTTCATCACCTATGATAAGTCTTGAGAGGTCATAAGAATAGAATGAGTGTGTATTGAAAAGACTTCAACCAAGAATGCAATATTGCTAAACTTCTACTTCCGAATTCAGTATAACTTATGGAGTGATTTGAACGGAAAGTCTTTCAAATATATGACTCTTTTATAATTCATGGAATCGCTTTTGAATATAGTGCCACCAAATAATTTATCATTGAAGTGATATTCCGAAAAGACCTTAGATCTAAACATAGGATAGAGATGAAAAAGAAAGGCTTGTTGTGTTCATTTTCATTGGGTTTTGTTTACAATTAGTCGAAAAATTAATATCTTAAAGTTTGTTTGATGGCAGGAACAAAGAAGTGAGGATCCTAAGTATTGGACTTCATATGGGATAATGGCTTCAGTTTGGAAGTTCCACAAGCAAGACAACGAGCAGCACCAACTTTCTTAGTTGCCTTAAATTTTGTTCAAATTCTCTGTAAAATGTTATGCAAATTCCAAATATCATAAAATAAGGTACTTTATTTACTTCTAAAGTTACTAAAAATGTGGTTTGTTGAAGAAATTAATGAAATAAGTTGTAATTTATGAGCTCTAACATTTGTTCTATATGGAATGTGAGAAATTTATACCCGTTGACGTGTAAGATTCATTCTATGACCAGAATTAAATATGTAACGGTCTAGGCCTATTGCTGTGTAGCACATATTGTGAGATCCCACATCGGGCTTACCTCAAAGTTTTTAAAACGTGTTTGCTAGGGAGAGGTTTCCATTTCTATCAGCTCACTGCTAGCAGATATTGTGATATCCCACATCGGGCTTACCTTAAGGTTTTTAAAATGCATATGCTCGGGAGAGGTTTCCACTGCTATCAGCCCATCGCTATCAGATATTGAGAGATCTCACATTGTGATTACCTCAAGGTTTTTAAAATGCGTCTGCTGGGAAGAGGTTTCTATTGCTATCAGCATGTCGCTAGCAGATACTGTGAGATCCCACATCGGGCTTACCTTAAAGTTTTTAAAACGTGACTGCTAAGGAGAGGTTTCTACTGCTATCAACCCACCGCTAGCAGATATTGTGAGATCCCACATCGGGCTTACCTCAAAGTTTTTAAAATGCGTCTGCTAGGGAGAGGTTTTCACTGCTATCACCTCACCATTAGCAGAATTGTGAGATCTCACATCGAGCTTACCTCAAAGTTTTTAAAACGTATATGCAAGGGAGAGGTTTCCACTGCTATCAACCCACTTCTAGCAAATATTATGAGATCCCACATTAGGCTTACCTCAAGGTTTTTAAAGTGACCGCTAGCATATATTGTGAGACCCCACATCAGGCTTATCTCAAAGTTTTTAAAATGCGTCTACTAGGGAGAGGTTTCCACTGCTACCAGCCCACGGCGAGCAGAATTGTGAGATATCACATCGAGCTTACCTCAAAGTTTTTAAAACGCATCTGCTAGGGAGAGGTTTCCACTGCTATCAACCCACTTCCAGCAGATATTATGAGATCCCACATCGGGCTTACCTCAAGGTTTTTAAAGCGCGTTTCGTTCTCCTCCCCAACTATGGGATCTCACAATCCACCCCCCTTCAAGGCCGAGCGTCCTTGCTGGCACACCGCCTCATGTCTACCCCTTCGGGGAACAGCCTCCTCGCTGGGATATTACTTGGTGTCTGGCTTTGTTACCATTTGTAATGGCTCAAGCCCACTGCTAGCACATATTGTCCTCTTTGGACTTTCTCTTTCGGACTTACCCTCAATGATGTTAAAACACGTATGCTAGGGAGAGATTTCCACACCCTTATAAAGGGTGTTTCGTTCTCCTCCCCAACCGATGTGGTATCTCACAAAATACTCGATTTTTCTTTTTAAGTTCAAACTTCTAAAATTTTATCGAGGATCCAAAAAGTAGAATTTGAGTAACTCAAAAAAAAAATATATATATATATATATATATGTGAAAGAAAACAGTAAAAAATCGGAAAAAGTGGCCAAAATCAATCATGGGGTATTATGGTTATTTCTGCCCACCTTCCTAATTAAAAAATTAAAGTAATCTAAGATTGAGGACATTCAATAGGGGTATCCATATCGATTATATCTATCAAGAAACAAGGATGATTGAGAGGTAAGAGTTTCGAGTTTTTGGTTTCTGTTTTCCTGATTAGAACATCTAATCCTAAGATCTAAGAGATTGGCGCGAGGTAGAAGACGACATGCGGTTGGACGATTCAGACCTGATCTGAGAAGGCACACATCCATGTAAGCCACCATTCAAAACTTTCTCAAGTTATACTTCTAAGGATCGCTAGGATGTACTAGCATGCGAGCATATCTTGTGTAATGGCCCAAGCCCACCGGTAGTAGATATAGACCTCTTTAAGCTTTCCCTTTCAGGCTTCCCCTCAAGGCTTTTAAGCGCGTTTGCTAGGGAAAGGTTTTCACACCCTGATAAAGGGTGTTTCGTTCTCCTCCCCAACCAATGTGGGATATCATATCTTGCCTTACGTGGTTAGAATTTGTATGATTATGAATCTAAAGGGGCAATTTCGATGAGAATGTTATGCATGTTATGGACAATTAACGAAATTCCATATGATAAGAATTTAAGTTGCATGCTATTTTAATGTTTTCCGCTACGTTAGAAAGAAGGATGAGATGTTGTGATCTATGCTCTAGTTGATGATGGAAGTTATCTCCTGATTGAGTTTGTAGGAATGTTTAGGTTATGTTTTATGTATTTAATGTGATGATAGGAATACCTGACAAAACATGCATGAATGAACCAAGTTAATATAAGGCACTAGAGCTAAAGATGTTAGATTAGCATATTTCCAGTAGACCGACAATCAAAGGTCTAGACCTGAGTGCACTTAGAGATTGGATTAGCCTTAAGAAACTAACCCCGAGCATCAAACATGAGATGAAGACTAAACCGCCTAGATTCCCCTAAGAACCTAGTAAACCTCCATGACATCTTTGAATGATTAAGAAAGCTTAAGAGGCTTAATAACAATGCATATGGTATTATTAGAACCTTGAAGCCACTTGAATTACTATTGAGTGTAGGGTTGAGTCAAGGCTGAGGTTGCAATTATATAAACCCGTCTTGAAGAGGGACTTGGGACTACACTAATAGTTAACTTGAGACGAGGACTTCTATTGAGTGTAGAGAAGGGTCAAGCTAGAGGTTGCAATTCCAAAAATAGGTCTTGGAAAAGACTTGAGATTACACGGGTAGATGGTTTAGGGTGATTACTCATATTGAGTGTAGGAATGGGACAGAGGCTGAGACCACAATTCCGTAAATCGGTTCTGAGAGGTGACTTGGGACTAATTAAGTTGGCTGATGATGAGTGCCCCTAGTAAGTGTGGAAGAATAGGGTCATCTCGTCGTAAGTACGTATTGAGAAAGAGAATAAAACCACACGGCTAGATATTAGTAGTTGGCTAGCATATGGGGGGTTGCTCCACAGATTCAAAGTTTGTACGCCTTGTAAAAGAGTTGCTAGGTAACCTTCCATATATGATACTCAAATCATCTAGATGTACTATCCTAACGTATTTGATGAGTTTACACCTCAACTTAGGATACCGATCATTCACTGAAGTTTGTTCACTCTGAGACTAGATTCGTTGTCCAGAAAATCTATGGCGCTAGAACCCGATAAATAGTTTTCAGACCTTGATAAAGTCGACACATAACAGAACTGCTCGAATCTTCGAGACCTTCCTGGAAACACATATAGTTGTAGATAAGGATGTGATGAGAAACTACAGTTAGGTTGTTTATTGAGTATTTTTGTACTAATTTTTTCAAGCATTTACAGGCTACCAGTCGATATGGTAGAGTGTTCGATAGTTGTGTGGCCACATAAGGAGTTGTCTCGGAGCGTAAGATCGTCATTGTATTTTGGGTCTTTTATATTTCACTGTTCTTCATTTTAACTTCAATTTTTACTTAAGTCGTGATTGCACTAAATACGCATTTATTAATACTAGTACATCTAATAAATAATTGTCGACTAAATGTCAAACATAAATAATAATTGAGTAGTTGTAAATCGACCCACACAAAAACGTGTTCATTTTCTTAAAGTTCGAGTTAGATGAGAAATTCAAACTTGATAGTCCGATCGTATGCGGGAAGAAACATAATTTATATAAGTCGAGTTAATTCACTTTTGAACATTGTGTGCTCGTTTTAAGATTACTCAAAGTACCATCCTGATATTAACAGTAATTCTTAGTTGTACTTATTTAATGCTCGTTTTTTTAAATCAATAATCTTTTAATTTTTTATTTTAGTTTTAATTAGCACACTAAATTAATAAAAATACCATACACATAAAATTTTATTTGAATTTTTATAACTTTCTCTACCCAACTCGAATTATCTTAGTTTTTTCACGAAGCATAATCAAGAACTCGAAATGCTTATCTTCCATTTTTCCTTGGTTTGTGATGAATGTGAACAAATCAAACATCTATAATGGTTCTCTCACCGCTAACGAGCAATTTTTGTGAAGGAAACTCGGTGAAATTCTTACTCTAAATTGTCGTTTGGAGCGTATTTCGACTTTCTCTCTAACTCTCTCTCAAGAACCTTAAACCTTCATTTAATAAATGACCCCACTATTAGGGTTAGGAAATGCAAAGACATGCAATGTGAATGAGACCTATCATTCTAAAGTTGTATTCCCTTAGCTGACTATCCTAAGCGGGTCATTAGATGTGTATTTACTATTCTACCAAGGTCTATACATGCGAATATGAACCCACCAGTCTAGACACTCGGAAGGAGTAGCGAGCGTCGTAGCGTCATGTTAAACATGACAATCATTTTCCTTTTCATAACATACGTGTTCGTACTCATCATAAGAAAAAAGTATACCAACATTTTTTACATTAATTAAATCATTTAAGGCAATTCTTTCCATTTTTTCCTTCATTTAATATCATTTTATAACATAACCTTTAAAACATATCTCGATATTGTGTATCATGTCAAAATATTTTGCTGTGTATCATTCATGTCATACATCGTATTATATTATGTCATGCACTTACTATATCATCCCACGTATCATATCACAAAACATTTCATGTCATAACATGTATCATATCATCAAACATGTCATCTCATAGTCATATCATATCGTAAACATGTCACACATATCAAGCATATAACACATATAAAGCCATTGGGTATGTTTCATCATACATAATACAAACTTCAAATCATGTCGATAGTAAGTTCAGTTACTTGGATTACCTTAGCGAACGTTCTCTTTCTAACTTATCTTGTCTTCGCCCTTCCTTATGCCAGGCTTCACCTGTTTGAATATTTGCTCAATAACCTTAGTAAAGTCTAAGTTTGCAACTAAATTTAATTTGAAACTAAGGAACATGGCTCTTACCAATCTTAATTGCCTTAGGTTCTTGGAGCTGAGTGAGACGACAGTTGAGATTAAGAGACGTGTCGGTGGTAGAAGTTGACATGCACGCGGGTCGCGATTCAGGTCGAGGTCGAGGTTTCAGGTCAGTCTCACTGACGTGGGTTGGGATGTTGGGCTAT